GACCTTATTTAGTGATGATAAATTGTTCTTTCCTAGAATTTGTACTCTTACAATATCAAACTTAATGTTAATCCAGCAAGAACATCATGAATTGTCCTTTTTAACATATTTTTTGTGAACAGTCACATGCTTGTTGTATTCCATTTGGATGCTTTCATAATGATTCATCTCTTACCACAACCATTGCATTGCATTGGAATATTCTATGATGGATAATTTCCCTTGTTTTGCAGATCAAACCTTAGTCCTGATTTTATAGATTAGTGCAACATCACAAATTTTAGAATATGTTTGATTTATTGTATCTTATTTTTTTCATTGAATGAAGGAACATGCATGTATCACTAATCTCAGGAATTATAGAGCTCCATAATTAGGACATCATCATATAGTTCTATTCATCCTAAACATTAAATGTGGGATTGTCTTCTTAAGGTTTAGTGAAGTAAATGACCCTATTTTCCTCATTCTTTTAATAATGTACGAATCAATTGTGATCACTTAAGATAGTTCTATACATTTAGACTATTTAGTTTATTCAATCAATAGGTAGAGTGGATGTTTGTAAATCTGAAATTGGTTTTGGATTGTCGGCCTCATTTCCAAGACAGAAGACCAAGCGAACATGTGTATTGTTATTCATGAAGAGGGAAATTGTGATGGTAATTTGTTTGCATAAAGGGATAAAAATAAGATTACAACAATGAAGGCTGCAAGATTGCAATAATGTAGTGATGAAGGCTGCAATTATATGAATGAGAGGTAGGAATGGGAATGCAGCAATGAAGGCTGTAGTATTTGCTCAAGGAAAAGAAAAGCTTAAAGCTCTTATATTATGACAAGAATTAAAGAATTGGTTAAGCATTTGTGTTAAATTTATGCGATCCCAGAGACGTTTTAAAGAGTAGGGGCTGAAATTAGAGATACAATAACAATAGAATAGTTATAATCAGTACAATAGGCAAGCAATAAAATGATGACAGCAGGTTTGTGAGAGGGAGCAGTTAACTATCATTTATTTAAAACGGTTATGAAAGAGGAGATAAAGTTATATATATATGTGCAGGGCTTCATGATATGTTCTTATTTCAAATACTTATCTTTGGAAAGTTTACTTCTTAACAATTCAAGGGCATGTGCCCCTTTTAAGTGTGCGCTGAATAAATAGTTAAAAACATAATAATTGTAAGCCAAACGAATGGTTTCTATTGCTGATGCTATCTGCATCAGTTGATCCGGCTACTTCAACGTCATCATCCATATGCATTCTATGTTCCTTTACACAATATAGCAATCCCCACAATGACCTAAACAATTGAAAGTATTGATAGTCTATAAGTGATGATGCAAAGGGAAGCTTTTGTATATGAATGATTGGTGTAGGTAAATGGTATAGTTTATTAGCAAACTTCACATAGATTAGAGTTGCAGTGCACAACCATTCTGGTAGTGGCATGGTTGTATACATATTAATATATTGGTAATAAAAATCAATAGTTACTTGGTACTGCTAATGTTATACATTTCTATTTTTTGTAAGTAATCTTTTTTCTTACAATTCTCTGTCTGACGTTTTCTCCAGGTGTTAATAGTAGATGATGGAAGTACTGATAAAACGTCTAAAGTGGCATTTGACTTTGTTAGAAAGTACAAGATAGATAATATGAGGCTTCTTCTTCTTGGAAGAAATCATGGGAAAGGAGAAGCTATTAGAAAAGTAAGTTCCCTTATAACCTTTATATTAAGAAACATTTTTCTGTGGTACAATAAATCAAAAAGGTATAACCAATTCCGCCAATGTTATTGAAAGTAAGTACTTTTATAACCTTTATATTGAGAAACATTTTTCTGTGATACAACACATCACAAAGGTATACCCAATTCCACCAATGTTGGTGAAGGATTGATGTATGCAATTTTACCCCTAAACTATGAATATATTGTTTGTATGATTCGAATTGGTGAACATCAAATAACGATGGACACAGCCTAATTGTTTGGGGAGGAATTGTTGTAACTTTTGTGGTGCTGAAGTTACGCAATTATACTATTTTGTCTAAGGGTAACATCACTTCTCCCAGTATTGTAAATTAAAAGTACTAAATTTTATTCGGTGCTGATTGATGTTCCTGACTTTGGGGAATGAATGGCATTGCAGGGCATGCTGCATTCACGTGGTGAACTTCTTCTAATGCTTGACGCTGATGGGGCGACGAAGGTTACTGACTTAGAAAAGCTTGAATCTCAGGTTTGCATTGAGAACTATGAAGCTGTATGAAATGTTGATTTTATGACTGTCAATATACAGTTCAATAATCACAAGTTTCCTCTATTTTCTTACTTCAGTCGTGTTTGTTGTGTTCTTACTTCTTTTTAGGTATATGCAACGGCTAAGAATAAAATAGATGATAAATCTCTATCTGAGTCATCTAATGATCTAAGACCCAAGCTATCAGATATTGAAGTTTCTGTATTTGGTTCCCGGGCACATCTTGAGAAGCAGGCTCTTGCTACTGTATGTTTCCTAATTTATGTTTCATTTGGGATGATTTTTTTACTACTTCTTAAAGCAGATTTTTAGTTCGAAATTTAAATTTTTGTACTAAAAAACTGCTTTAAAAAGCAGTAAGAAAGCCGTCCCAAACAAAGCCTTAATACCTCCCTTCTGACCTTTTTGTTTATCCAGGACTTCTCACTTGAATTCTAAGTTGTTTTCTTATGATTTTCCAGAGGAAGTGGTACAGAAACTTTCTAATGAAAGGTTTCCATCTTGTGGTTTTATGTACTGCTGGTCCAGGTATCCGTGATACACAGGTATTTTTGAATATGGGCCCATTTTATTTCGTTTACAGTCTTTATTAAAAACATGGTTTCCATGGATTACTATCGTAGAAAACATTGGTTATGCTCTTTCCCTGTTCTTAATATTTTTATCATCTGTTGCAGTGTGGCTTCAAGATGTTCACAAGGTCAGCTGCTAAGAAACTTTTCACAAATATTCGATTGAAGAGGTATCCTTTGCATGCTATGTGTTGCTGACATTCTCTGTTTTTTGGTGTTTGCTGCTGGTTGCATCGATTTCTTTCCCAAATCAAAATACAGATCGTTACCACTATTGATTTTCTTTCTTCGATATACCATACAAACCATAGTATATATATTAGTTGCAAAATATGAACTTGTCCAAGCAGCACTCTTAGTGTTCTGTTTAAGAAGGGGATTCTTAGGATCACGAATATCAGTGTTGACAATTACTTTTAAGTAAACAATTACAAGCTTTTTAAAGGTAATGTTCTGTCATGTTCAAGAGAGGAGAATGAGAAGGAGGGAGTGGGGAGAGAAAGGGGAGGGAGGGAGGGAAGAGTTTGGGTATGGAGGGGAGAGCAAGGGAAAGAGGAATTATTTTAAGTTTGTGCATTGGAATATGAGTAGCATTGGGGCTTTCTTATGCTTAAATTAATAAAATGAAATCACAACTGATAAATCTTCACAGGAAGGAGAATTGCCTAGTTCTTAAAT